TATAAGATGTTCCTCCAATATTTTTGCTACCGGAGGAGACATGTTAAGTACATCCTTAGGAAAAGAATCTTTGTCATCTACCCAAATGATTACAGAACATCTAAATAAGAAGAAAGCACAGAATATTCTGCTTCATCTGATATGACTTCACAAGAAAGAAAATGTTATACACCGTATACAAAATAGTGTGTTTCCTTACAAAAAATATGAAGAACTAAAGTTAGAAGAAGAATATAAACCTCAAAGCAATGGGATACTTTGATTTGTGTTTTACAATAGTACAATTTGAACGATAAATGAGCAACAGAACTACAAGTTTATTCCGTAAGATGAAGCACTTAATCCAATTTTATTATACAAAAGGTGAAAATATCTTTCTCAATGATGGTAATTCTAAAGAGCCCTTTTTGATTACGAATAGTGGTACTATAAAATATTCCTCCAATATTTTTGCTACCGGAAGGGACATGTTAAGCACATCCTTAGGAAGAGCATCTTTGTCATCTGCCCAAATGATAACAGAATATCTAAGTAAGAAAAAAATATAAAATGTTCTGCTTCATCTAATATGAATTAACAAGAAAAAAAATATTATACACCGCATACAAAATAGTTTATTTCCTTAAAATAAAATATGAAGAATTGAAGTTATAGAAAGAATATAAACCTCAAAGCAGTGGAATACTTTGATTTGGGTTTTTACAATAGAACAATACGAACGATAAATGAGCAACATAACTGCAGGTTTATTCCGTAAGATGAATCACTTGATCTAATTTTATGATACAAAAGGTGAAAATATCTTTCTCAATGATGGAAATTCTAAAAAGCCCTTATTGATTACGAATAGTGGTAGCTATAAGATGTTCTTCCAATATTTTTGCTACCGTAGAGGACATGTTAAGCACATCCTTAGGAAGAGAATCTTTATCATCTGCCCAAATGATAATAGAACATCTAAGTAAGAAAAAAGTACAGAATGTTCTGCTTCATCTGATATGACTTAACAAGAAAAAAAAAATATTATACACCGCATAGNAAAATATTATACACCGCATACAAAATAGTTTGTTTCCTTAAAATAAAATATGAAGAATTGAAGTTATAGGAAGAATATAAACCTCAAAGCAATTGAATACTTTGATTTGGGTTTTTACAATAGAACAATTTGAACGATAAATGAGCAACAGAACTGCAAGATCATTCCGTAAGGTTAAGTACTTGATCTAATTTTATGATACAAAAGGTGAAAATATCTCTCTCAATGATGGTAATTCTAAAAAGCCCTTTTTGATTACGAATAGTGGTGGCTATAAGATGTTCCTCCAATATTGTTGCTACCGGAGGGGACATGTTAAGCACATCCTTAGGAAGAGCATCTTTGTCATCTGCCCAAATGATAACAGAACATCTAAGTAAGAAGAAAGTACAGAATGTTCTGCTTCATCTCATTTGACTTAACAAGAAAAAAAAATATTATACACCGCATCCAAAATAGTATGTTTCCTTAAAAAAAATGAAGAATTGAAGTTATAGAAAGAATATAAACCTCAAAGCAATGGAATATTTTGATTTGGGTTTTTACAATAGAACAATTTGAACGATAAATGAGCAAAAGAACTGCAAGTTCATTCCGTAAAGTGAAGCACTTGATCTAATTTTATGATACAAAAGGTGAAAATATCTCTCTCAATGATGGTAATTCTAAAAAGCCCTTGTTGATTACGAATAGTGGTGGCTATAAGATGTTCCTCCAATATTGTTGCTACCGGAAGGGACATGTTAAACACATCCTTAGGAAGAGCATCTTTGTCATCTGCCCAAATGATAACAGAACATCTAAGTAAGAAGAAAGTACAGAATGTTCCGCTTCATCTCATATGACTTAACAAGAAAAAAAATATATTATACACCGCATACAAAATAGTATGTTTCCTTAAAAAATAAAGAATTGAAGTTATAGGAAGAATATAAACCTCAAAGTAATGGAATACTTTGATTTGGGTTTTTACAATAGAACAATTTGAACGATAAATGAGCAGCAGAACTGCAAGTTCATTCCGTAAGATGAAGCACTTGATCTAATTTTATGATACAAAAGGTGAAAATATCTCTCTCAATGATAGTAATTCTAAAAAGCCCTTTTTGATTACGAATAGTGGTGGCTATAAGATGTTCCTCCAATATTTTTGCTACCGGAGGGAGACATGTTAAGCACATCCTTAGGAAGAACATATTTGTCATCTGCCCAAATGATAACAGAACATCTAAACAAGAAGAAAGTGCAAAATGTTCTGCTTCATCTTATATGACTTAGCAAAAAAATATTGTTATACGCCGCATACAAAATAGTGTATTTTTTTATAAAAAATATGAAGAATTGAAGTTATAGGAAGAATATAAACCTCAACGCAATGGAATACTTTGATTTGGGTTTTTCAAAGGTAAAAAAATACATTTTTGGATGTCCTTAGCATGAAAACTCTACAACCACGTAAATTAGATTAGATCCTAATTTCCTTATGGCTTGTCATATAATACATAACCATTCCAATACATGCACGATCATTATTCATTTCTGTGAAAGCTAATTCTTTTGGGAAGTTACCATGAATTTATAAAAAAAAATATTTTGTAGCTCTGCCTTTTTCTCTCTTTTAAATTGCACAATATATATCTAAATACTTCTTGTTTCCGTAAATTGCACATAAACTTTCAGAAACAAACATTAGTTGAAGGCTATTGTTTAGTTGATTAGAAGCAACTGTTACATTTGCTTACAGATTTTTGTTTTTCTTTCTTGAGAGTGAATCTTTTTCTTTTCCATTACATCGATTTTTGTCTACTAAGCGAATTCAGAGAAAAATTAAAGAGGAAAAGAAATATAGCCTTTTCCAATCATAATCTCTTGGTAAATTGCATCGTACTGTTTTGCCTGCTTCACTAAAGAAATCCCTCCAACATTGCATATTCTCCAAATCTGTCTTTCAAAATGTCCTCATCTCTGGCAACATATTTAGCAAAATTTTCTTTACTACGCTATTGCTTTAAGTAGTTATTCTTGAAAGAAGCTAATTACACTTGCAGGCTGCAATAAACAAAGAAATTATTTGTATAACTCTATATCCAATCTCCATTATTGCATTTTAAGAAACTTTGTTTTGGACCTAAAAGAGAAAAAAAGACACACATCATTTAAAACTAATTTCTAACCATTACAACAATGCCATATATACTAATTTCACCTTTGATTCATCAAGACAAACTATGATATACAAAAATGATCAACTGGCAATTAGCATCCGTATTATAGAATAAGTTCCCTGGAAAAATTAGAATAAATCTTTTTGGTGTTCTTGTTAAAAATAGATTGAGTAATCATTGCAGCTATCTGCAATTTAAGGACATTTGAACAAATGGATGACGCAAACACCATAAACTTTTCCTAATACTAATTTCAACAGAATCTTTAATCTATTTTGCAATATTTAATGATGAAGGAGGTGATAGTGAATACTTTGCACTGTTCATAATTTTACTTTATACACTGTGTATTTTTTTATTTTTTTTTCCTTTGATCATTAAGATAGAAATTTCATTCACAAAATACACAACTAATTAGATGGTGCTATGAACTATACAACCAAACCAGAAGTATAATTCTTTTTCCTTGTGTAGGGTTTTTTTTTACCCTGCTTATCCTAACTCTTATATCATGTTCAGAAATTGATCGGATATTAAAATTTAGCAAACCAGGAACGGTAACCCAGAATATAAAATGAGAGACCATTTCCAAATAATATCCAAAAATATGGTCTCAAAAAAAATGGTATACGAAATTGGACTTACGCAGGCATAGTCAAGATGATTAGCAGTCATGGATGTGGCAGCCTCGGCGGCCAGGTCACAACATTTCTAGTACAGAATATCTGAGAAATCTTAAGTCTATGCAAATTGGTGACAAATAAGAACATGCATGTCCGAAATGGGGTAGATAAATATAAAAATAAAATATTTATTAAGAACCCATCAAAAAATGTTCAAATTATTTCATACCTATTCGATAAAGGGTGCACGCATACAACTACCAAATTTGAGATATGAAAAACTATTGCATACATTTGAGTGGGTTATGGACAAAAAGACCATATTGATCCAGTTAACAAAGATGAAGATAAGTTACCGCCACCCGCCAAACTTACTCTTACATTGAAATCACACATATATCTCATACATTGGATGAGAAACTTAGTTGCAAAACCTTAATGAAGCTATGTAGAAACTTTTTACTCATTGAATAGAAGTAATGAGGATTTCTTTCTTGTTGCTTGTTCTCGCATATGAAATCACAAAATCCTAAGCTAAAATATTAAAAACCTAACTGAACTTGGACATTTTCTTCTTTGATGTTTTTGTACTCCTCTCTATGTCACATTGATACATCTTCTTTTCTTCTTTCATGTAATTTCCCTGCTTTTCAGTCCAAAAACAAGGACGATTTCATGGATATTATAATAATTCCATGAAACAAAATGCTTTTAATAGAACTCTGAAACATCTAGAAAATATGGTAATAGACTTCATTGGTGGCTTTGCTGATGTCCATGCCCCACTCTATTAATTCACAGAACACTTTTTGGCTACAACATGCCTAGGTTACATGATAAAACACACAAAATCATTTTCTCAATATTTGTCTCGGAAAACTAAAATCTACAAAAAACAGTTTAAATAAAATAAACCAGAAGATTGTAAGGAACAAATTGAACAAAAAGGAAGGAGTAAGAGGAAGAACACACCAGAGAGAGAGAAAGAGCAGAAGAGATGACCTGAAGAAGCCCAGAAAGAGAGAGAGAATTGAAAGTAAGAACTAAAATTTGAAGCCGATAAGAATTGTGGAGTCTAGTAGGGTTTAGCGACCCACCGATCGGAGATTTTCTGTTCGGTCACTTTATCCGCCGTCGGAAAGGCATCGTCGGCGAGACTCACCCATCCATCGTACTGATATATACTCAAATTTACAAGTTTTTGTGGACAGAAGAGAATCAAATAGTGATGGAGGATTGGGAGGATGTTCCAGTTCCGGATCTTCTTAAGAAGGAGCAACCAAGGAGTAAATGGGATGATGAAGATGCAGATGATAATGATGTAAAAGAATCTTGGGAAGATGAAAAGGAGCCTGTTCCGGCACCTAAACCAGAACCTCCTGCTGAAAAGGCACCCAAGAAGTCTGCTGAAAAAGCTAGTGAAAAGAAAGGCAAGGAAGCTGAAATTCATACCAAGGAAGAGCCTCTAGATCCAGTAGCAGAGAAACTTCGCCAGCAAAGGCTTGTGGAAGAAGCTGATTATAAGTCCATAGCTGAATTGTTCGTCACGAAAGGTGGTGATGACAAGACCATTGACAATTTCATCCCCAAAAGTGAGAATGATTTCTTGGAATATGCTGAGTTACGTTGATTTCTCATAATTAAGCTGCGACCATATGAGAAAAGCTACCATTATATGTGGTTGCTCAAGGCCTCATCCCTGAGCCGATGAAGGAAGTCAGAGTCTGGTACCCTGGACTTAGTATTCTTCTTGGGCTTACGAGCCCGGGTGGCTGCCCTCTTTTTTATCTTCGCCACTAGATCTGGGGAACCTGAGGACTTATTTTTCCTCTTCTTCTCCTACGTGGAAGCCCCAGACAGTCCCGAAATGGAGGGTTCGATGGGTAAGGACGTATGCTCGTCCCCTACCAGAGGCCTAAAATCGGTGGTCTTAGACAAACCTACGAGGGAAAGGAGAAAGTCAACATTATGTAAGCTTGGGACGTAGTAATAACTATTTAGGGGAGAGCCTTTCTATGAGAACGGGCTTCCCATTTGCCCCTCGAAAGTTTGTGCCACGTGCGCTTGTGGTATGACATCTGCTTGCAGATTCTTTCGATCCACTCCTTGAGTCAGGGGATCGCATTAGGAACCCGAGCAATAGCTGCGCGACTATAAATACTGGTGATGAGAGAAGAACTAAAGGGAAATTGACACTTAAGGAAAGACTACACTTACAAGATGCATTCTACTTCTTGAGGAATGGCAGGAACTCGGGAGGGATCATGTCTTCAGTTTTTACCCAAACAAAATACCCTTGCCAACCTCGGTCTCTATCCTTGTCGATGCTGGAAAAGGGGGCCTTGGTGGCTTGGCGAACAAGCTTGATTAGTCCCTATCGAAAATTTTGGGGACTGTACAGATGGAGTGGTTGGTCGAGGGTGAACTGAGAAGATTCGGTGTTGTTCATAAAATGGTGTAAAAGGTTCACAATCCTCTAGACGTACGGGTGGATTTGCCCGATGCACACCTCGTACCTCTTACAAAAGGCCAGGATTGGTAGGTCTACCGGGCCCAGCGTGAAAGGGTAAGTGTAAACACTTAAATACCCCTCCACGTGGGTAGTAATATCGTCCTTAGGTCTGGGGACAACCACGTCCTTGCCTTCCCATTTACAATCCTCCCGGACTATGGAAAAGGTATCTTTAGTAACAGAGCATATGTATATCCACGCTCTTTCACCTCGGTCTTGTTTGACGGAGGTATTCCCGACCATGAAGTCATCTCCGATAGAACAAGCCCCGGGTCTACAGCTTTTTATAGGAGGCTCTGGAGCCACCTCGACATTTGCGGCCGGGTGGGAAGATGAAGGGGCCGCTTGCTGTGGTACAGACTTGGAAGTTTTGACCATCGTGAATCTGGGAAATATATGAATATTTGAAGAAGGAATATGAAATGAGATTGTCAATGACTGCGTTGAAAGGTGCAGATGCTAAATAAATTGCCTCTTCTGTTACTGCAATTGCAAATGAGAAGATTATAGCAGAAAAGGAAGCCAATGCAAGTAAAAAGAAAGGTGCAAAGAAGAAGCAGATACATGTTGATAAGGCAGATGACGAAGCTGTGGTAAATGCATATGATGGTTATGATGATTATGATTTCATGTGAAAGGGAAACTTAGCAAACACATGCATGTTAGGCCGACAATATCACCTTTCTAGTTACATTAGTCCGACAATCTTTTGGATTTACAAGTGACAACTGTGAGGAAGATCCTGCAGCCTGTTCTCCCAATTCTGGAGGCTTATTGAATGTCATGTTTTTTTTTTTTGGTTTACATTTTGAGATCAGTTACTGGTTGGAGATCCATTGGTAAAATATTTTTCAGTTGATCTGCGTTTTCTTGTATGATGTGGATCTTAGATTTTGGACCTATAGATTTCCTGTAACTGTCTAATTCGAAACTATTTATATGGACTCTTTCTTCTTTAAAAAAAAAACTAAAATTTGCTTTTAAAATCTTATATAATAAAAGGAGAGGCAAAAACACATTATTAAGACAAGTGGCATAATCACAAAAAGTCAAGTGACATTATTTAGACAAAATAAACTACCTTTTTAACTAAAAAATATCTTTTTAAATTTTGAATTAATTGGTTACTCTATTTGAATTAATAAATATAGATATCTTATAATTAGCTATATTAAAAATATAAAAATATAAAAAAAATAACTACTCATTCAAATTTGGGAGTAGTTTCAAGTTGGAGTTTTAAAGTTATTTTAAAAAACGAAAAATAAGAAAAACTTAAATGTAACGACCCGACTTGTCGTTTTAAGAATTAATGTCGCGTTCAGTGACTTAAGGTCTCGAGCAATTTCGCAATATGTATTATGACCCGCATGTGTGATCGAGTTTGATTTACGAATGATTCAGAGAGATTTGGGACACTTAGTCCCTCAGATGGAAGCTTAAGTCTTAGGATTTTTATCGTAGTTGGAACTGTGTGAAGACGACTCCGGAATAGAGTTCTGTCGGTTCTTTTAGCTCCGTTGGGTGATTTTGGACTTAGGAGCGTGTCCGGACTGTGAATCTGAGGTCTGTAGCCAATTTAGGCTTGAAATGGTGAAAGCCGAATTTTTGGAAAGTTTGACCGGGGGGGTTGACTTTTTGATATCGGGGTCGGAATGCGGTTCCGAGAGTTGGAACAATTTCGTTATTTTATTTGGGACTTGCCTGCAAAATTTGATGTCATTCCGGTTTGGTTTGATAGGTTTTGGCACGAGTTTTAGAAGTTAGAAGTTCATAATTCGTTTCGATGCGCGATTCGTAATTCCGGTGTTGTTTGATGTGGTTTGAAGCCTCGACTAAGTTCGTATGATATTTTGGTACTTGATGGTATATTTGGTTGAAGTCCCGAGGGGCTCGGGTGCGTTTTGGGGTGGTTTCGGACCAAATTGGAGCTGTTTGAACTGATGTTGCTGAAGTCTGGTTTCCTTCTTCGCGAACAAGAAAGGAGTCCCGCGTTCGCGAAGAGGAATTTGAGGGACTAATGATTTAGTCTTCGCGAATGCGAAGCTGTGGACGCGAACGCGAAGAAGGAGCAGGGCAAGCCTTCGCGAACACGGCCCAGGCAACGCGAACGAGAAGAAGAAAGGAAGATTGGGGCCTGGGGTCGTTTGGCCTTCGCGAACGTGAAGCGTGGAACGCAAACATGAAGGAGTTGGTCAGCTGACCATCGCGAACGCGACAAGGAGTTCGCAAACGCGAAGAGGAAATGATGGGGCAGAAACAGTTGGCCTTCGCGAACGCGACGAGGAGGTCGCGAACGCGATGAAGGATTTGAGGCAGTTGGGTTTTGGCCTTCGCGAACGCAAAGCAATGGTCGCGAACGCGAAGAAGGCCTATCTGGGCAGAATTAAAAGTCCCAAAAACGAGGGTTTGAGTTCATAACTCAAAATCAAATTTGGAGCTCGGTAAAAGGCGATTTTTGGAGAGATTCTTGCGTGGGTGTTTGGGGGTAAGTGATTCTTATCCAGTTTTGATTAATTTTCATGATTATGTCTTTGAATCCATCATTTAATTCGAATTTAGTGGAGGAAAAATCAAGATTTTTATAAAATCATCCAAAAATAAAAATTTAAGATTTGAAAGTCGAGTTGTTATTGGAATTCGATAAAATTGGTATGGTTGGACTCGTATCGGAATGGGTGTTTGAATTTCATAAAAATTATGTCGGGTTCCAAGAGGCGAGTCCCGCGTTGACTTTTGTTGACTTTTGGGAATAAATTTTTTTGTCGACGTATTATTAACCGGAATTATTTTCGATGAATTTTAATAAAGCTATACAATTAATTTGGATAGATTTGAATGACCCGGAGGTCAATTCAAGAAAGAAGGCGATTTTGGAATATCGGCATAACTTCAAAAAGGTAAGTATCTTGCCTAACCTCGAGTGGGAGAATTACCCCTTAGGCATTGAGTCTTATGTGCAAATTGTGTGGTTGGAAGCCGTGTACGCGAGGTGATGAATACGTACTCGGGCTTATATGTGCAAATTTTATTGGTTAAAGTTTTAGGCAACTTTATGTATTAAATTAGATAATTATTGGCACTAGTAAATACTTGAGTTATCATGCTGCATTCCTTAATTGTCAAGTTTGTGTTTTATATAATAATTTGGTGTTATTGTAATTTGGATTTTATGTGAATTCCGTGTGTTTATTGATTTGATATATTTCTTGGAACTAAATTCATGATGGAATCCTTATCTGCAAATATTTATTAAATAAGTTTAAATTAATGAGTTAATATAATTATCAAGAATGTGGAGCCTTGGGCTATTTATTGAGAAATTTATTGATTCTGCTACATATTGGAACTTGATTGTGGTCAGTAGCAAATTGTGATATGAATTATTGTATTGTGTTGTAGATTAAACACTCTCCTTGACGTTATTTATACTTCCTACATTGATTGTTAATGATATACATGTGCTTGGTGAGGAAGAGTGTAAAGCACGAATGGTGATGCAGTGCCATTTATATTATATTATTATGTGAGGGAGAGTGTAAAGCACGAAGGGTGATGCTGTGCCATTTCATTTATATTATCAGGTGAGGATGAGAGTAAAAGCACGAAGGGTGATGCCGTGCAATTATTATTTTATTATCGTATACTCATGGCACGAAGGGTGTTTTTGTGCAGGAGAGGACGAGAGACATACATTATATTATGATATTGTTTGTTGTGTATACATCCATGCCTTTATCTTGAGATGTTATTGTGCGCCTATGTTTTCTATGTGACTTGTAGTCGTGTTGCTTCATTGTACCTCTACTTTATTCTTTTTACTGTTATTGGCATTTCTCTCACTTGGTTGGTATTGTTGTATGTATGTACTGTGAGAAAGATATAAATGCACGAAGAGTGTTGCCGTANTGCCTCCCACTTTATTTCTTTTATTGTTATTGGTATTTCTCCCACCTAGTTGGTACTGTTATATGTAAGCACGATGAGAAAGAGATAAATGCACAAAGGGTGTTGTCGTGCTAATTGATATGATCTACATATATATATTGGGTGAGAATGAGACAAGTGCACAAAGGTATTGCCGTGCCATTTGATGTGATGCGTTGAATATATTTCTCACGCCATGAAAGTTA